CACAACCATATCATACCTCAAACACAGCCATATTATTACCTCAAACACAACCATAACATTACCTTAAACACAACCATATCATTACCTCAAACACAACCATATCATTATGTCAAACGCAAGAATATCTTTACACACCAGAGAACTTCTGTATGGCTTCTGGTACTCCTTTGTGATCCAGCACCTTGATACTCACGAGGGCTTGCTGAGATGCAGAATCTGTTGGCCATTCAGCTTTCCTGTCACGTAGACACTATGCGTGTTTGCCATTTTACACTTAGCTGTTGGGATTTTCACGATGGGGGTTGGTGGGCATTCCTCAACACCAACCACTACTGGTTTCCCGAAGCTGACATGTTGGTAAAAATTCTTCTTACACTGGCTCTTCACATGTCCTTTCTCTCCACAGTTCCAACAACCTTTCTGGGTAGTAGCGTTTCCTGTCATGGCATCTTTCCTGTGTTGAAGTTGCCAGCATTGAGCTCTCTTGTGCCTAGGTTTATTACAGTGCCAGCAAAGTCCCTCAAACTTCTCTGAAAGCTGCCCTTTTCTGGCCTTGAATCCTGACGACAGTACCAACCTTGGTACCACTGTGCTGGATTTAACGTAGGATTCGAATTCAAGAGCTCTGCATAGTAGAGGGTTCTGCTTGCTTTACTTGTATCTTCAGTTGTGGACTGTCCAAGACGTCTATAAACTGATCCTTCAGCAACAACTTGAGGACATCAGGTGGTGTAGTTGGGTAGGCCTTGTGTGCCATACTTTCTAAATCCTGTGCCAGCTCGTGCAGGCTCTCCCCTTTAGCACGGACTCTAGTCCTAAACCTAGCCCAGTAGACTTTGGACTAATTTTGAGTTCCATACCTGATTTCTAGAGCCGCTACCAGTTCCCTATAGTTGTGCCTATCGTCTGCTAACAACTGTTCAAGTATTTCCAGTAGTTGTCCTTTCAGGCTCGTTGCCAGGCACACTGCTTTCTGCTCCTCTGTCCATCCATTCATTTCTGCCAGGAGCTCAGATTGTGCTCTATCTGCTTCCCATGGTGCTTTCCCATCGAATTCCCGTGGCTTCCTACGTACTAGATCACC